AAAAGTCAATTTATTTTGATTTCATGGGGTTTTCTTTAATGTTTGCTTCTTTGATGTAACTGTTCACTTCGTTAAATCTTCTTCAGCAATTTTTTTTTATTAATCCGCATCTGCTTGGTGTTTTTCAGTGTTTCCTTTCTTGCAACTACCACCACTCAAAAGCGAAGATACTCAAGAAAGTACATACTCAAACGTAGACCCGAGACTGGGTGAATTATATTATCCGAAACCAAAGTCATATGTAGAAGAAACTGAGAAACTTCGGGAAACAAATCCACCAGCTCCTAAAACCCCGTTTAGAGAGGTATTTCACAGATACAGCAAATGTCCAGTAGAACTCTAATTTAAGTTTGCAGATATTTCCAAAATACAAATTTGCAGATTAAAGAAATTATCACAGAAGAGAGTCATGAAGATGAGAACCCCTTTGACAGGATCAAATCCCGTCCCGGATATCCAGGACGAGCTCGAGTGCATGCGGTAAAGACTGTAGCCATGGAGGTAGGTTACCCACTTTCTTCTATTTCACCAATCGGTGATCAGATAACGCAATGCTTTGGATGATAAATGAATGAATAAATCGAACGGAAGGGAAGGGTGATAAAAGGGTTTGTCTGCACAAGATCGTCGCTCACTCACCACAGTTCTCTGCTTTTTGGTCTACTTTTGAAGAGTTTCTTTCAGGATGAAGACCTTTTGCCTGATAAGGATTCATTTGATGACAAACCTACCGAAGGTTTCATCAAACAGCAAGCTAAGGAGAGGGTAGCGGAGCCAGTAGAGCATGAAGGAAATGAGGAAGTGATCCAGGCTGGAGCAGGGGGAAATCTCGCTGCGGTGAGTCGCAAAGGAAAATTCTATTATTATCTCTCCATTTTCCGATACCACCATTTCCCTGCCAGTCTCTTTCATGTGTTCAAATAGAATTAGTTCCATTTCGGAATGGGTGGTGGTTAAAGGGCCATGTTGTACGGTATTCGTTAATAAACTCTGCTCTTGATCTATGTCATGTAGGGCAGTCTTATTAGAATATCTACTACATTTTTTTAGTTTCTCCTGGGTAGTAGCCTGTAGCCAGAAATTGCTTAATATGCTCCAAAACGAAAAAAATGTTTTTAGGGTTTCCTGAAACATCTAATTAGATTTTAGGCATCCGGACAAG